ATATGGGTCTGGAGAAAGCCTCACCAAGAGTTTTGGCTCAACAGATTGCAGCCAACTGTGAAGCATGGTTTCAGCGTGACGGTTTGGGGAGCTGTTTTGATTGGTGGGAGATCGAGCTTAGTGGAATGCGTTGGCAATATAAATTTTGCGAAATACGTCGAAATATTGGAGGAAGGACTCTTGCCACTTTATTCCTCGGGTTTCGTGGACAAGAACACAACGTTGTTCCAGGAAGATGGAGCACCGTCTCACACTGCTAGAAACACCCAAAAGTGGCAGGAAGAAAATGGTATCCAGAAGTTGCCCTGGCCGAGCCAATCTCCTGACATGTACCCCATCGAAAACCTCTGGGCCATACTCGACCGGCAAGTCAAGAAACAACCAAAAAAACCAACTTCGAAGAGCGATCTACTCCAAGTTTTGAAGCAAGAATGGGCGAAAATCCCACAATCTAAAATTGACGAGATAATTCTCACCATGCCCCAAAGGATCAACGAACTCCACGAAGCAAAAGGAAGATCTACTAGATATTAATTAAATTATAAATATATCAATTCATGTGAATATGACTGAAAAAATTCATTTTTTCTGAAAAGGTGGTGTCTATTTACTTGTTACCACGCTGTTATCTGCTTCTTTCCATAATTATTCCCAGTACTATACATGTTATTATTAAGTATGGTAGTACTTAACTGTTGGGATCGACAAGGTTTCCAAATAATTCACGTGTCCAGAAACCACCCTATTTAATTCCTAAGCGAAAAAAAAACGACCATCCAAAGTATTGGTTACGATATATTATGTGCATATACAGTAATAATATGATAAAAAGGTCGATAAAATTTCCGGTATAACAATTAAAAATATTTTAAAACAGCAACTTTTTCGTCTACAACCTACCTACCTGATCACGTCAGCGGGGCTAGCCCCTATATGGCTCGGACTATCGCTACAAAATTTCTCCAGCTTACTTGACTGGTCTGTGGGTTTTCGTTTTTGATATTCCGATAAATATATACAGATTTTTTTTTGATAAATGACAAACATATCATGCACCCACTTAAATATATTTTAAACCCAACAGATGGCGTTACATTTCGATTGATATATACGCGAAAGTTTCTAAAGGTAAAGTATATACTTTATACAGGTATAACATAAAAGTAAACAAACAAGAGTGTTAAAAACTATGAATATTAAAATGAAGTAGGGATCGTGCTACAAAAAGCAATAAAACAAGAATTAAAACTGAAAGTTTATAGATTTTGTGTCCATTCCATGGACATATAAAAACTGAACTAATAAATAGGAAAAATAAAATACAATTTTAACAGAAAGTAGGGATCATTGGTTATTTGTATAATTACTTTAAGAAGTATCCAAAACAAAATAAATGCTGCAATAAAAAGTACACAAACAAGTAAAGTGGTACTAATCTAATTGGATAGATTTTAAAACGATTTTGAATCCTTATTTTGGTTGGCATTGTGATCTGTATAGCAAATGAAGCAGTCTAAATTTGTCAATATGGATTGAAAATTGTTTTAAAATCTATCCAACTATTATCACTTTACTTGTTTGTGTACTATTCATTGCAGCATTTATTTTGTTTTGGATACTTCTTATAGCAATTCTACGAATAACCAATGATCTCTATACATTTTTTCTTCTATTTTTCTAATTGCTAAAAATCTAACTAATACAAAACCACTGTAGGGTACATGCTGTTTGAGAACACTCCAGTTTTCAGTGGTATATATATATCTGCAAAAATAAAACAAAAACATTTCCTTAAGCTCAATGAGAGGAATAGAACCCTGAATCTAAGCGTTAAGTCCGTAAACTTGCCGCTGTCCTACCAGAAGAAAAAGAAATTTTTAGATTGGTTGTTTTAGAGCAAAGCCACATTGAGCTATCTGATGGGTACACCGCGAGGAATCGAACCCCGTATTTTTGCGTTGTAATTCCGTGAACTTGCCGCTGTCACATTAGGGGACATGGATTTCTAAAAAGGTAACAAAATATAGAATCCGACTTGCTGTTTTCATATAAAGGAAACCCGGATTCTTGTAAAACGAAAGAGCTTAGATTGTCTGTTCTTCACGTTACGTCTTTGGCTGGGAAGGCATTTCAACTATCTACTATGGACTTATCTATTCATAGACATGCATCAAAAACCAAAATATGAGGAAAATACTGAGACAATAAAATACATAATAAAACAAAATTACCAAGTTATAAATACAAAGCAGTAAACTGTTTGGAGGATATGCAAAAACAAAATGTCCAATTTAAATTCAAGTGTGTAACAAGTTGAATAAGAAATTTGTTATATGAAAGTAATACGAAGTATCATGTCAGGCTTACTGTGAGAAGGAACACGTAGTTTAACGTTATGCCTCTTACAGAAAACGTACTTCGTTACACCAAGAAACTAACACTAAGGATAGCACGAGTCTTAATGTCAGACTATTTTACAACTATTGGAAAACTGGGCATAGTAAAGAGCAGGTCTTGAGTACTCTGGTACTCACAGCACACATGTGATAGTTAATTAATGATGAACCACGAAAGGAAAATTTAAAAAACAATTTCGGAACAAAACTTTGTTATCATCTCGTTAGTAAATATCTATTGTCTATGAAAACTGGTCCTAGTTAACACAGGTTCGTATACTAGTATTTCTATAGAAAGAAAACTAAGAGCAGTAAACCATTGTAATGAGTAGAAAAAGTACGGTATATTGAAAGATCAAGATCAGTCGGTAATAAAAGTATGATGTAATAAATTATCAAGATCTATTATTGAAAATGACGACATAATCAAAGATCAGAATCACCAATAATAAGATTTAGAGAAAAATCAAATTTAGTATCAACGTTCTATTTAATGAATTACTTTACATGTAAAACAAACACGTGTTTCCTACTTCTGGTGCGATTACAAAATGAATTAAAGGAACTGAAACCCTAATTGATACCCTAATCGCACGTGGACTAAACAATCATGTCAGAGACCCCTTGTGTTCAGGTATATCCGTTAATAATTTTGAAATAGTGACTGGAGGGAGGACAACTAGAAACACTGAATTCTACAAGAGCTTTGTCTGGCTCATTGAACTGAATAACTGGATTGGCTGTAACCTTTATGACGTGCCTACACCAGAATCCCTACTCGAGCCTTGGGCCTTCAGCTACAAACTTACATGTTAATTACTAGACTACGTCCGGCCAAAATATATGCTCATAGAAGTATAACGACTCGAACCCTAGACCTTCAGCTACAACACGGCACGTTAACTACTAGACTACTCCAGAATAAATTAAATGTTTCAAACTCCTGAGAAACTGGACAATCAAATGATCAAACAGTCATACGCTGCCCTTAAATTCCATACCACAGAGGTTTATAGATATTCCTAGCTAGCAACGGATCTATAAATTTTCACGTGAGTTGGCGGAATAGATTGATCCGGTATCTCTGAGCTGGAGAAATTCCAGAATGTTTCCATTAATTTTTAACGTCCTGGAACCAAACTTCTGGAAAATCAGCTGAAAGTGACGTAAAAACTTCACTGATTTTATATGGGACGCTAATCTCTAGAAATGTTAAGCTCGTGTTTGTTTGTTTTCTACTCACGGGTTTTTATTTCCCACCGCTGTTTGAAAAAAACACACACATATAACCAACTGTTGCGGCTAACGGTAAAACAGTCAGATAAGACGGTCCCTCACGAGTCGAACAGAGGCAAATGTAAGGGCACTAATGTGTATATTACGTTATTTGAATGGTTGGTTATCTAGTAATACAGGAAGTAATCAGAGCAAAGACTTCCTAAGTAGCCTGATTTTTGCACTGTAAAACTTAAAAATTCAAGACTATCCAGGGGAGGTCCATTTAAGGTTGCCCTCTCACCTTGTTGAAGTCATTTAAGGTTGCCCTCTCACCTTGTTGAAGTCTGAAATGGCGCTCCTGGTGCTGATTATTAAATTATAATTAAAAAGCCATATCTTGCCCTAAGGAACAAACCTGCAGCAGACGACGACGATCCTATCCCAGAACCTTCCTCTTCAGTATCAGATGTGGCGGGCGAGGTGGTCCCGCGACACGACAGGTGGTGGTCAGCCAGGTTAGACAGATACGTGCAACACAACAAGAGCATCAGAGAAGCGGGCGGAGTACATCACGTTCACAAGTTCAATACTGAGTGATCCCTTTCATGAAGAGTGTTTTATTTCCTACAGCTACTTTGTTATCGTAAAGCCATAATACCACACGAGCGTGTGACGTCACGCGGTTCTGACGTCAACAGTGTAGGCGCGCGAACACTCAGCCAGTCGTTGCCGGCTCGTGTAGCGGTAGTCACAATAACTGGTAGAGATGACATCATGTTCGACCCAACAGCTACTCACAATCCGTGACGTCACCTGACAGAAGAAGAACAATTGTTATTCTCCAACGTATAAGCAACGAATCAGTTGATTTAACAGCGGGAACGAATTGATCATTAAGCTTGAAATGTGGCGTTATCGTCCGAGTTGATTGAAATGACGTCACGACGGTGAATCTTCTGTGAAAATAAATTCATACCGATTTCAAAGCTTATCTTGCGACAGAAGTACATTTTCGTTGTATTTTGACATTTTTAGCCCCCCCCCCGGTGAGATAGCTGTAAGTCTACAGGCTTAGAATGCTAAAATCTGGAGTTCGATTCCACGCGATGGCCACAGCAGATAGCCCAATGTGGCTTTGCTTTAAAAAACAACAACAAACAATCAAATTTTCCTTTTAGTATTCAAAAATATAAAAACGTATTTAAATTCCGAAAGGGTGGGGCCTTGATGAGAGAAGACTCAGTGTCAGTAAGAGGAAGATGGCAAGTTAAAATAAGGAATTACAGCTTTCAAGAAGGGGAAGATGCCAGTTAAAATAAGGAATTACAGCTTTCAAGAAGAGGAAGATGGCAAGTTAAAATAAGGAATTACAGCTTTCAAGAAGGGGAAGATGGCAAGTTAAAATAAAGAATTACAGCTTTCAAGAAGGGGAAGATGGCAAGTTAAAATAAGGAATTACAGCTTTCAAGAAGGGGAAGATGGCAAGTTAAAATAAGGAATTACAGCTTTCAAGAAGGGGAAGATGGCAAGTTAAAATAAAGAATTACAGCTTTCAAGAAGGGGAAGATGGCAAGTTAAAATAAGGAAGTACAGCTTTCAAGAAGAGGAAGATGGCAAGTTAAAATAAGGAATTACAGCTTTCAAGAAGGGGAAGATAGCAAGTTAAAATAAAGAATTACTGCTTTCAAGAAGAGGAAGATGGCAAATGAAAATAAGGAATTACAGCTTTCAAGAAGGGGAAGATGACAAGTTAAAATAAGGAATTACAGCTTTCAAAAATGAGAGAAAAAATTGCTTTCTTTTTTAAGATTCTTGATAAATATTTTACATAGAACAGAAACTGTTTTACTCAGTGACAAGACCCCCGCCACAAAAAAAACTGGGTAACGATACTCGTGGTGGACAGAGCACAGATAGCCCATGGTGTAGCCTTGTACCTAACAATGAACAAAAAAAGAAAACCCTCAATAACAAAGGAATATATTGCAACGTTTAAAAATACAAAGATACAAAAGGAACATGTTATATAACACCATTCTGTTTCCTTATCCGTGAAAACAATGTCTATAAACCCACGGAAAACGAATTTTAAATTTGATCGGGACCTTACTTGGCACGTGGACTAAATGACCAGAAGACCCCAAGGTTCTAGCATATCCATCACTAGCTTTGAACTGCTGACCAGATGGAATGTAACTGGTCGGCGCACCCACCGCCTAACTGGGTACTCTTATATACATATATACGTCACTGGTTTATTTGGATATCGATTCTTTGGTTACTTTACCTTCGGCTTTCTCTCTCTCTCTAACAAAAGGATATATCAAACTTAAGAAATCACAAATAAAGGGCAAGGAATAAATTATAAAAAAATCATTAAATAGTGGACTCCTGCTCTGGTAGTTTTGATCTGTAAGACAAAATGGAAAAGAAAGTCAGCTAATATGTCGTAATTTTACAACGCAAAAATCCGGGGTTCATTTCTCTGCGGTGTGGAAAACAGCAGATAGCTCAATGTGGCTTTGCTCTAAAACAAACTAACATGTTAAAGAGATGGGTTACAAAACAACTTAACCTTGGATGTAACGAAAAGATCCTGACCACATTGGATTTTTAAAGAGATTTTTGTAAAAAATTTATGAGTCAGATTGCTTATGGGTCCACGACTCTGTTGCTTACAGAGTCCCTCATAACACACACAAGTCACTAACAGTTTGTTGTTTAGCGCAAAACCACACAATGGACTATCTGTGCTCTGCCCACCGCAGGTATTGAAACTTGAGTTAGCGTAAGCCCTTAGACTTACCACGGGGAACTACAAGTCACACAAAAAATACCGTCAATATTGCAATTAATCCCCTCCCCTAACAACTGTAAGTCGTTACACTCACATAATGTTATTCAATGTGATGCAATATGTGGATGACCCCTCACCTTAGTAGTGAACTTTATAAAAATAAAAACTGGTAATTTGAAAGTTGGGTTATCTTTGGCTTTATCTGCAACTAGTACAAACTACCAAATTAATTATTCGTTTATATATTTTTCTGTTTTCACTAACGTTATAGCCTTACAATTGTGGTAGAGAGCGGTGTTTATTTGTGGTAAATAAATGATAAATTATAGTATTAATTAGAAATTTACTTTTAATTAAAGGTATTAACAACTGATTCAACCATTCTATTTAAAGCTACAAACAAGGGCAATGCTAAACGAAAAGAAGTTTAATTAATTTCCAGCAGGGTTGCTAATAGCAGATAAAATTAATTATATTTTAATTACAAAAGTGGGTACAGCACGCCGTGGATATCTAAGAAAATTTGATATAAAAATGAAACTACTTTGTTTTTCCATTTTCTAACCAAACCAAACTAAGTTAGGGTTAAGTTTAGTCCATATTTTGTACTGCATTATTTACACAGATAGCATACATGAAACATGGCCTTTTGCTCTCAAATGTTCCATTTTTGTCTCTAAGTTAGGGTTAAGTTTAGTCTTTATTTTGTACTGCATCATGTACACAGGTAGCACACACCAAACGTAGCTTTATTCTCTCAAAGTTTCCATTTATTTGTCTCTAAGTTAGTTTTTAATTTAGTCCTTACTTTGCACTGCATCATTTACACAGACAACACACATAAAAGGTGGCTTTATTCTCTAAAATTTTCTTGTATACACAGTAGACGTAGATATCGGAAGTAAAATGTGACAAGGGGGACTAAAATTGGAAGTGATTCAAGGTTAGTGGGAACTTGATGGCTCTGGGTATTGTTCTCCCGGAAATGTTTGACTATTAGAATGACAATATGTACCTATTTTGAAAACAGTGGGGTGAAGATTCATGGGAATTAGAGTTAAAAACACAAAAGAAATTTTTGGGAAAATAAACAGTTTAATGACCAACTTACATGACTACCTGTATAAACAGTTTAATGACCAACTTACATGACTACCTGTATAAACAGTTTAATGACCAACTTACATGACTACCCGTATAAACAGTTTAATGACGAACTTACATGAATACCTGTATGCACAGTTTAATGACCAACTTACATGACTACCTGTATAAACAGTTTAATGATCAACTTACATGACTACCCGTATAAACAGTTTAATGACCAACTTACATGACTAACTGTATACACAGTTTAATGACCAACTTACATGACTACCTGTATAAACAGTTTAATGACAATCTTACATGACTACCTGTATAAACAGTTTAATGACAATCTTACATGACTACCTGTATAAACAGTTTAATGACAATCTTACATGACTACCCGTATAAACAGTTTAATGACCAACTTACATGACTACCTGTATAAACAGTTTAATGACCAACTTACATGACTACCCGTATAAACAGTTTAATGACCAACTTACATGACTACCCGTATAAACAGTTTAATGACCAATTTACATGACTACCTGTATAAACAGTTTAATGACCAACTTACATGACTACCTGTATAAACAGTTTAATGACAATCTTACATGACTACCTGTATAAACAGTTTAATGACCAGCTTACATGACTACCTGTTTTAGACATAAAACTCAAATGAAGTTGGAGGAATCACAAACCTATCTAGTGACAATCTTACATGACTACCTGTATATACAGTTTAATGACCAGCTTACATGACTACCTGTTTTAGACATAAAACTCAAATGAAGTTGGAGGAATCACAAACCTATCTAGATATATATATGGGCAGGGGGAGTCTAAAGGGGATACTGTCCGTCCTTGCATTGGATACTGGGACTCCTGCACTTTCCCCTGACCCCTCCTGTTCCAACACTTGTGTTTCTAACACATGTTATGTAAGTAAACAAGTAGTTATTTTCTCTCATATAGGGTTTGTTAACATTTCTTTAAAATGTGACTTAAACAGACTGGGTTATTGAGGTTAACGTTAAGTCTCCGGTGGCAAGTTTGTTTGTTTGTTGAATTTCGTACCTAATTTATCAGTGATAGACAAGAGAGAATGTACATATTGAACACCATCCACCGCCAACTGTTGGACTACTCTTTTACTAACGAATAGTGGAATTGACCGTTACATCATAACGTCCCCACGGCTGAAAGAGCGAGCATGTTCAGGGACGGGATTTAACTCTAGACCCGTAGGTTGCGAGTAGAGTGACCTAACCACCATACCATGCCAGGTCTTCAGCTGCAACTCAGTGGGCTTATAACACCAAATATCGTATTTCGATACCCGCGGTTGGCAAAGCACGGGTATTCCATTTTGTAGCTTTGTGCTTAAAGAAAAAAAACACAAATAAGTCGCCGCTAGATTTCAAGTAGAAACACAACTACAATGTTATAATGGAATTTCTTCCTCTGCAGATGTCGCGAATTTTGTGGTTAATTGCTAAGGTCTTTCCACGACAGTGTGGGGTTTCGGTTTCCATACTGTTAAGGCTTAAATATTTGAATTTTAGAGGCATTTGAAGTTATAATGAGTTGACTCACATGAACCACAACATTTAGGAATTAAAAGTTAACGTCGTCTTATAAGCAACAAAATTAACTGAT